TGTGCCCGCAACCAACGTATATGCCCTGACCGGAATCGAACCTAGGACCTTTCAGTCCTCAGACCGACGCTCTACCACTGAGCCAAACCGGTTTCGGCAAAAATTGGGACGTCTGGTCACCTTACTAGGTCTCTGAGTTTGCAGGGCCGCCATCCAGGCCTTCCCTGAGCTGGTCAGGTCAGCATGTGGTCCCTTTTCCTCCACATTGGCCTGCAGTGTTTCTCCTGAGGGCGGGTCACCAGCAGGGTCCCCCTGCAGAAAGCTGAGACACAAGGGTGGATGGTAGGAAACAAGCCTAAGATTTCCATGTGCAAGAAGTATTTTGAGCAGGACTGTCCCTCCCCGCTCTCCCCCAGGGCACACACCCTCCTCAAATCATGGGCTCAGGCCTATACGCTGGAAGCAGCAGCGCCTCCCCACCCCTCCCCTCAGGTCCCCGGGAGTCGTAAATGTTGACCAGAGTGCTATCTTGAGGTTATTTCTGTCAGTTCTTTCCCCACATTTCCCATAATGTACGCCGCGGGATATTGTTGTCGGGATATATAATTTTCTAAGGCCCAGAAAGTTAGAGAAGTGGTAGGCTAAATAAAACTACACAGACATCTTTACTGCAGCACTTCTCAAGGCCTTTCATAAGCTACCTGGTGTGACGAATCGCCAAAAGCCAGTCACAATATAGAGTCATCTACAGTCACTGACATGACCACAGAACCTTCCTTCCAGGAAGATCTAATAAGACGTGCTCCGAAGGATCTTCGCTGGGGCGTGTCATGATGGGCGGGCCCTGCATCGCGTCAGAATCACCCAGGGAGCCTGGGTTACTGGCCCTGCTCCTAAGGATGCTAACCCTGGTGGTCTGGGGCAGAGTGTGGGGATCTGCTTCTTTTTTTTTTTTTATTTTTTTATTTATTGATTTTTTTACAGAGAGGAAGGAGAGGGATAGAGAGTTAGAAACATCGATGAGAGAGAGTCATCCATCAGCTGCCTCCTGCACACTCCCTACTGGGGATGTGCCTGCAATCATGGTACATGCCCTTGACCGGAATTGAACCTGGGACCCCTCAGTCCGCAGGCTGACGCTCTATCCACTGAGCCAAACCGGTTTCGGCGGGAATCTGCTTACTAGTTGCTGTCTGTGGTTTTCTTCTTAAAGCTTTCCTTGTGGTTTGGATGGTGACTACTGATCGTTAGGGCTTCTGAGACGCTATACCTGGGATCCTCCTGGGCCCTCACCAAGGAACTTGTACTCAAGACCCCTTTGTAGGTGAAAAACACGTTTATGCGAGAGAGATGCTGCAAACCGATGAGGGCCTTTGTAATTTGGGGGAAATTGCTGGCCTGTTTCTGTGCCTTTAGAAACCACCTCCTGTGTAGCCACCCTCAGCTACCCACATGGAAGTCCCCCTTCACAGCCCTCAGAGCTGTTGTCACTCGTGCCACTTTGGGCTATTTCGCATGTTTCTCTATTTTGCTTAATTTGTCTGTATCTCACCCTCCTGCGGGACCATATTCAGAGTGGAACCCAATTAAGTATTTGGGGCTTCAACGTCATGCAGGGTTGAACAAACAGTAAATGCTCAATGATTGCAGAGAAACTGAGGGATAAAAGGGACGTTGGTCCTCAAATGGCACTCACCAGCATTTTTAAATGGACAGTAATAGGCGTTTTATCACTGTGATATGTTTGTTACAACGACACATTTAAAGGAATTATTTCAGAGGTTAATTTTTAGCCCGACTGGTGCGGCTCATTGGTTGAGCTTCGACCTCTGAATCAGGAGGTCAAGGTTTATCCCAGTCAGGACACATGCCCGGTTGCGGGCTCCATCTCCATTGGGGATTGGGGGGGGGGGGGTTTTCAATGATTCTCTCTCGTCATTAATGTTTCTATCTCTCCCTTTCCCTTCCTCTCTGAAATCAATAAAAACATTTTAAAAAATAAAATAAAAGGCTAATTTTTAGATGACAATATTAACAATATACAAGTTATATCTATTAGAAATATAACTATTTAACCATAAGGTGAAAATACTTGCTGTCAAGTTAAAATAATAATGCAGCCGAAACCGGTTTGGCTCAGTGGTAGAGCGTCGGTCTGCGGACTGAAAGGTCCCAGGTTCGATTCCGGTCAGGGGTATGTACCTTGGTTGCGGGCACCTCCCCGGTAGGGGGTGTCCAAGAGGCAGCTGGTTGATGTTTCTCATCGACATTTCTAGCTCTCTATCTCTCTCCCTTCCTCTCTGTAAAAAATCAATAAAATATATTTTTAAAAATAATAATAATAATGCAAGGAGGTTCGTAGTTTTTCAAATTCTTATGGGAATGGCTGAGCAAAACGTGTGCAGGGCAGTGCTCTGGAGAACAAGGCTGGGAAGGCTGCTGGTGAGCAGAGGGGGCTGGGAATCAGGCTGGCAGGGAGGCCCTGGTAGAAATGCCAGCTTCCCCCAGCTCACAGGGTTAACACCGGGCAGTGCCTGGCACAGAGCCAGCGCTCCCCTCGTCCAGCCACTGGCTGCCGCATGCCACCAAGACGCTGGGCTCTGGACGGACGGACAGACAGGAGCGCTTAGACACCAGTCCCTGCTCCCACAGAGCTTACACTCTGGTGAACACACATTCAGTTGATTCGTGCTTCTGTGTAAATGCACATTTGCCACATTTTTGAGAGCCTCTAAGAGCACTTCATTCTCAGGCAGTTTTTAGGAACTGTTCTTATAGAAAAAGGATTGTTTTTTTATATTCCAGAACGGATTTATCCTCATATCACTTCATTGTTCCTGTCAGAATAATCACCTGAGGAGGCATATACTTATTTCAGTAACAAAGTCTTCGAACTTCTCCTGTGGAATTGACTTCCGAGCACAGCACCATCTTTTGCACAGCCTACATGCTTGTAAATATTTGTCTTAGGAGGACCGATTTGATGTTTTTGGAACAAAGGTTATTCACACAAAGGTCTGGTGACTGTGGTGGATCATCAGACAGGGCAGGAATTATTATTTGTCTCAAACTCTGAAAGGGCTCAAATCAGGAAGTCAGCTTTCTCATGGGACGGAAGAGTTCCCAAGGCTGAAGGGACATCTTGGCCACGTCAGGGCTACTTGGCTGTGAAGTTGCTTGCAATTTCCGTGTCTCAAACTTCATGGAGAGAGCCTCCTGGGGCTGTGAGAGGCCGTGGCACCCACCGCTTCCGTTCTGGGTGAAGTCCCCTGAGACCCGCAGCGTGAAGAGCTTGCGAGCTGCATTCACTTTCCTGGGAGGACCCTGGGCTGAGGGAGTGAGGCCCGGCTGGTCGTGGAGGAAGCACCGGGGCCTATGTCCACATTGGGTCTGAGTGTTTATTGAGTCTGTGTCTGCAAGACCTGAGTGTCCAGGGATTAATCACTGAGGAAATGAGTCCGGGCTGGGCAGAGGGGGTGGAGTATGAGATGAGGATGGGCCAGACAAGGACTGCAGAAGCTGGCTGTCCACTGCTTATCACATCTGTCACTTCAGGGTGGCCACAGAGCACTGGGCAAAAGCTGTAGGGACCTAGAGGGCCCTCGGTTCTCAAAGGAAAATGGTTGGGGTTTGTGTTCCCAGTATAAGTTCACACCGTATTTTACTACTTTCTTATTCTTCTGCAATATTTCTCTGGTACTTAACAGACACCATCTCATCGCTGTAACCAGAACTGACCCCCAGGACCCACGGGCACATGGGTGTAGGTGCTATGGCAACTAGAAACTCTTGTCTCTGTCTTCTGGCAACTTGAGTCTCCTTGGGAAGATAGTGATGATGAGTACGGCTGGCCAGGGGGCTTCCTTCCAAATGTCAGCTCCAGCTAATTGGTGGCTTCACAGGGGATTTCATCAGATCTAAGGCACCATGAATTGCAAGATGCTGTTCTTAAGAAAGATAAAGGTGCTGCCAATTAAATTGTGATTGCTTTTTTAGTTAAAATTTTTATTCATGCCTTTTTAGACCTACTTAGATGCATTATTTTTAACATGTATTTCTCTCATTCACAAAGTGGAAACTAAGTGGGCTTTGTTTTTCTGAGCTTCTTCACCGTCAGAGTAGTACCGGCTAAAGTACCTTTGACTTGGTGTTGTCGATGTCTCACTTCCCACACAGTGCGGCTCTCTGTGCATTGGCGAGGCAATATTTCTTACAAAAGGACTCTTGGCTTTTCTCCCAAATTTCTGGCTCCTGTTGTGTAAGGTGATATGCATACAAGTAATGACAACCACGGCCCAACCGCCACCTGCAACAGTGACTGTAAATGCATCTTGATTTCTAAGATATCAAACTGGAAAAATTCATCGTAGACTCTATGAAGTATAAATTCTGAGATTCAGCCAAAAAAATACTACATTCCTGCCCTGCCCAGGTGGCACAGTTGGACCATCGTCCCCACCAAAAGGTTTTGGGTTTGATTCCCGGTCGGAGCATATATCTAGGTTTCAGGTTCGAATCTCAGGTGGGGCACTTATGGGAGGCAACCAATGGATGATTTTCTCTCACATTGATGTTTCTCTCTCTCCCTTCCTCTTTCTCTAAAATCAGTAAAAACATATCCTCGGGTGAGGATTAAAAAAAAACTACATTCTTGTCATTAAGCTATAATTTCCTCTTGTATAATTTGCAAAACTGAATGGTTTCCAGTGCAACAACCACAACAGGGAGTCCTCTGTGATCTAACAGAGTCTGGGAGGCTGTATGCGTGAAGTGGGTGTAAAAAGGTGGGATTTGGTCTAAACACGAGGAGACACACACACACACACACCCCCATTCCAGAGAAAGAGCACAATTGAGAAGGTTCAAAGAGTAAACAAGCTTGTCATGTGAACCAGACAATGTGGCTCCCAGGCATGGATGAGGTTTAGTTAGGGATTGTGGACTCTAAAAGCATGAATTTTTGCTTTAAGAACGTAAGTTCAAATTAGTGTGCTTCACTTGTAGGAAAATAATAAATGGTTCTCATATTTCCCTAACTTTCATTTCTTTTCTTATCGTAGGTCCCGATGTTTTTAGTTCAAAGAGTTTTGCCCTTCAAGCCCAGAAGAAGATTCTGAGCAAAATAGCCAGCAAGACCGTGGCCAACATGCTGATCGATGACACCAGCAGTGAGATCTTTGATGAGCTCTACAAAGTCACCAAGGAGCACACCCACAACAAGAAGGAAGCCCACAAGATCATGAAAGACTTGATCAAGGTGGCCATCAAAATCGGGATCCTCTACCGGAACAACCAGTTCAACCAGGAGGAGGTGGCTATCGTCGAGAAGTTCAGGAAGAAGCTGAACCAGACGGCCATGACCATCGTCAGCTTCTATGAGGTGGACTACACCTTCGACAGGAACGTGCTCTCCAAGCTCCTGCATGAGTGCAAGGACCTGGTGCACGAACTGGTGCAGCGACACCTGACCCCCAGGACCCACGGGCGCATCAACCACGTCTTCAACCACTTTGCTGATGTGGAGTTCCTCTCCACCCTTTATAGTCCAGATGGAAACTGTAGACCCAGCCTCAAGAGAATGTGTGAAGGAATCAATAAATTGCTAGACGAGAAAGTCCTCTGAATATCTTCCCTCCTCCTGGACTTTGCTGCATTCTGGGTACAGCCCCCAGTGTGGTCTGGGTGAGAGTCAAGAAAATGGGAAGAAACCCTCATCGAAGACGCCCATGTTCTGTCCTTTTCATCCCTCTGATGTGGATGCCGAATTGAGCTCAGGTGTGTTTGTCCCCTGAGCTTGCTGACGAGGTCTGTACTCTAAATCACCTTTGTTTGCGAGCCCAAAGGACATGTCTTCTATGCCAGTGGTCGGCAAACTCATTAGTCAACAGAGCCAAATATCAGCAGTACAACGATTGAAATTTCTCTTGAGAGCCGAAAACCAACTTCGGCGCATGGGCCACAAAGTTTCAATCGCACTGTACGTGCGCGCCCGCACGTGGTATTCTGTGGAAGAGCCACCCTCAAGGGGCCAAAGGGCCGCATGCAGCTGGAGCTGCAGTTTGCCGACCACTGTTCTATGCTAAGCAGAAAGGCTGCCCTGCTCATCAAGGAGAGCTCAGTTCACCTGTGGAGTGGAAGGAGCCCTGGCCCGGAAGGCAGAGGACATGGTTTGGTTCCCAGCTCTACCAGTACAACTCCATCCTCTGGATCCTGCCTGCCTGGACTGCTGTGAGGATCAAATGAAACAATGTATGTTCACAACTTTGAAGACGCTAATGTAGGGTCTTCTTTTCTCTTCAGAGTGTGAGAGGGAGCCACTTGGATCTAGACTATGAAGCAGCAAAGAACAGAACAATAGTCTCTGGTGGGCTGGGTTTGCAATCCGTCTCTAGATGTGCTATTTCAAACAAATTGAAAATGAATCTAAAGGTGTGAAAAAGTATAATTGCAAATTGGGAAAAGAACTCTGTTTTCTGGATCTTAGATGTGCGGGTCTGTGATCCTCCAGTGGGCAGGTAGAGTCCCACCCGTCACAGTCACACAGAAGTGGAGAACTGTGCTCCCTGCAGGACCCCCTTTCCTCCTCAAAGGGGCACAGTCCGTGAGGCCCAGGAGGGTTTATTCGGCTGCACAGGAGAGTCAGGCAAAGTGAACCCCCACCCATCTTTCTTGGCCTCTCATAGTCCTTGTGTGCTGTTTTCTCTAGTTTGTTAATAAATTGAAACTACCCTTCCAACAAGAGGTTTTGGAATTGTGATTCAAAAATAAAATCCCTGCGCTGGCCGGCTTGCTCAGTCGGTTGGAACGCCGTCCCATGCACCAAAAGGTTGCAGGTTGGATCCCCGGTTGGGGCTGTACTGGAGGCAACTGATCAATGTTTCTCTTTCACATCGATGTTTCTCTCTCTTTTACTCTTCCTCTCTGTCTAAAATCAAGAAACATTCTCAGGTGAGGATAAAAAGTAAAATCCCTTGGAGTTAGATACAGAGTTAAGGTTAATGGGATTTAAAGGAAGAAAATGAGGAGTAAGGCCTCTGCACATAGACCCTGTGGGGAAGTAGTCCAGGGGAAACCAGGTGGGGTATGTGTCCCTGGTCCAGGGGGAGCCAACTCACAGACATGGTGACTGCCTCTTCGCAATGTCTCACAGCCTCGCTTTCACACTGGCTTCGGACATCTTTTCATCAGAGTCTTTTTTTTTTTTTTTTTTAATATATTTTATTGATTTTTGTACAGAGAGGAAGGGAGAGAGATAGAGAGCTAGAAACATCAATGAGAGAGAGTCATCGATCAGCTGCCTCTTGCACACCCCCCACTGGGGATATGCCTGCAACCAAGGTACATGCCCTTGACCGGAATCGAACCCGGGATCCTTTAGTCCCCAAGCCGACGCTCTATCCGTTGAGCCAAACCAGTCCCAGCTCATCAGAGTCTTAATAAACATCAGGACACTGTATTGTCTTATACTGTTGTCTAAAGGACACCACATTAAGAGACGTACTCTTGCCCTGGCTGGTGTGGCTCAGTTGGTTGAGTGTCACCCTGTGCACCAAAAGGTCGCTGGTTCAATTCCCAGTCAGGATACATGCCCAGAGTTGGGCTCAATCCCCAGTAGAAGGCCTGCAAGAGGCAGCCAATCAATGTTTCTCTCTTCCTCTTTCTGTCTCTCTAAAAATCAATAAAAATGTTTTTGGGTGTTTTTTTTTCTTTTACAAAAAAGATGTGCTCTTCCCACATCATCTCCTGTCCCACTATGCTTCTCTTATAGAACACATTAGCTCAGCCCCATGGTACATCCTACTCCATGGTCTCTCTCTAGCAGGAACATCAAGATGGTTTGTGGGAACATGTGAAACAAACCTACAGTGTCCTTTTAGCTTCCACTGGCTCCCATGTCAATCAATATCAGTGCAAACCATTCAGCTCTTCAGCTACCAGCACTCAAAATTATTTCATCGGAAGGATGTCCAGGGAGGAATAGGGAATAGTTAAGTCAGCCCCTGTTCTCCATATTTGACCGGCATGGCCTAGTGCCTCCTCGTAGACAAAAGGACTAACAATGATACTTTGTGCACATCTGGCTGGAGTCGCTGGTCATTGGGGCAAAGCTGGTGGGAATTAACAGGCAGACTTCTCACCCACCCAGTCGGCAGCAAGCAGCCCAGCAGTAGCCACACGAATTTTCACAGGCAGAGCCCTCAGTGCCTGCCTTGGTGTACTCATCCGATTAAGGGCTGCATGCTAGTTTAAGGGCTGGTTCTTTTTTCACTAAGCAGGTGGACCTATCCAGAGGACTGAGACCCAAAAAAGAATGGATGGAGCTGTCATCTGTCCATCTGAGACAGCAGGACAGAAGACAGGATCCCCAGCCAAAGAGGATTGATTGCAGGTACTCCCTGCTCCACAGCCATGGCACACAGCAGTGGCGGCAAAGGAGGGACGAGCAGGTTCTGACAGCCCATGAGTCTCTGCGGGAACTGGGTCCTCCTTGCTCTGCTCAGAGAAGGAGCAGTACTTCCAGCAGCAGGTCTCAGCAGGGGCAACAGCAGAGTGTAGACCAAGACATCTAGGGCCTCAGGCCCCCCCACTGCAGCACCAGGCAGCTCTCTCTACTGCAGGCCAGCTGGGTGTATCTCAAGCTTATCAACAGCGTCCGAGGGAGCTGGGCTAGCCAGGTGCAGGAGACCCGCCATTCCACTAACCCAGCGGTGGGCAAACCGCTGCTGCCAGCCACATGCAGCTCGCGAACCTCGGTCTGCCGCTCTGTTGACTAATGAGTTTGCCGACCACTGCTCTACCCCAATCTTATGTATACATTTCAACATGCCATTGGCATATAAATTCAAGTGACTGTCAAGTTTCCTCAGCCAAATGAAATGGTTACAAATTTCAAATACTTTACATAATAATGCAGTGACCAAAGAAAGGATCTAATTATTGGTTTATTCCCAGAGTTTTAACTATATCACTTGAAAAGCTGTTTTGGCTGGGGTGGGGGGGAATGTGACAGGCTAGCAGAGGCTTTCAAAAACAGGACTCTGTGGATGTGCATTTTGCTCAGAATCCTGTGCAAATTTTTCAATAATGAGAACCCACGAAAGCAAGGTTAGCGTGTCTACATGTAAGTGGCAGCTGAAATAAAACTGATTTCAAAACAATTAACAGTACAAAATCACTCAGTTGACTAAGCCCCACACAAACCAGGATTGCCTGGCTGAGTAATTCTGAGGCAGAGAAAGGACTCATTCTTTCAGGAGGGTGAGAGGGCCGGCAGAGTAGCTTGTCTGTCATCTGAAAACATCACCGAGTCTCTGAGCATCCCTGAGCACGCGGCTCTGTCCCCAAGGGAGGACACGAGGGATGCATGCCGAAGTCCCCACCCCACCCTGACTAGGTGCCCTCCGTGAATCAACCCCGCAGGAACACATTCCCTGCCGGCTGTGCCTGCCATACGTCTGTGTCACTCTTCCTCCGTGTTTGCATCTGTGAGTCTTGACACCCTCAGCAACTCCAGGTCTCTGCTCAGTAACAAATGAAAATGAAAAGACTTCTCCATCTGTGCGGCTCTCCAAACTCCCATCTCCCCCATCTGTACATTTCTCAGAAGCAAATTGGTACACTCACTGGCTGCTCCAATGAACTTCTTGTATTTCATTTATATAAAAGAAGAAAACTCAAATCAGGCTTCCATGTCCTCCATCCCAATGCCTTTGGGAATTATTTATTTATTTATTTATTTATTTATTATTAATATTATTATTATTATTATATGGTCCCCGATGTCAAGAGCAAAACCAGTCAGTAAAAATTCTAGAGCAGCCAACTGGCTGCCAAGACACTGCATTAGCAGGACACTGCAATGTCCAGTAATGGGCTGGGACATTGACAAGAGTCATGAGTCAGATAGCCGGGAAGGAGAGGGTTGCAAGGCTCGCCCAACCCAGAACTCTGTGGTCAGTGGGTTTCCCTTACTTAATCCGACCCTGCTCTAGGGGCTTCAAGCAGGCCACGCCCACCTCCTGCTCTTTCTGTAGAAAGTTGCCTTGCTTGTTAGAGATAAGACTTTTCTATAATCGCTCCTCAAAATGGCACCTAGGAATCCTGTGGTGGGTGAGCTGGAAGGTGCAAGAGTCCATGAGTTCTGAAAGGAGTTTTAAGATTTTTGTTTCATCCTAACTTAAAAAAAAAAAAAAAATCAAGATCAACATCAGTAGCTTTTGAATCATGTGGAAATGATTATCTTATAACCAGTTGGTGCCATCTGGCTTCAGGATTTGAGTTACTCTTTGTGTTTACAATGTCATTCATGCTGATTGATCAACTCAAATGAGAGGAAATTATTTAACTTAATATGTTTCTCTACCAAGACCTGGGCATCCCCTAAGGGTTTGTAGGCCTAGTTGCACATCTCTGAGTTCTCAATTTTGAGAAATATTGCTACTAAATATGGAAGTATAGGCTGGTAGAGAATGTGTGTCACCCTGCCCTTGATGGTGACTCGCTTGTGGGCCTCACAGGTTGAAGGGTAAGCCTGTGTCTGAGGGACACAGAGGCCTGCTGCAGAAGGGACAGGCTCCCACATGAAAACGGGCCAGGCAGAGCTACCACATATAAATCAAAGGACTGACAAACCTGTCCTGGCAATCCTAACAAGAAATCTCAAAGATACAAGAGAGCCCATTGCCAGACATGCCAGGCACTGCTGCTCCCAACGAGGGGAATAGTGGAGAAAGCTTGCAAAGCTTCCTTGCAAAGAGAAGTGACCTGCACCTGCCAACACCGTCCCAGTCCCAGCTGCACCTGCAGCATGCAGATTCCCAGGTGTCGGGAGTGTGTGTGGATCAAGGATCCCAACAGCTTAATCTTTGGTTGAATGGAAGAAGAAGGCAGGTGGCACTCAGAATGCCTCCCAGTCCCCGGAGGAGGAGGGGGTTAGCCAGAGCAAGCCACTCTCACACCCCACCCTGATTAGCATCTCAGTGCCACACTAACCTGTCCTTTCCCTTTCTGTCTTTTTTTTTTTTTCCTGAGTTGGGGCAGGTCTCTACAGAGGAGGCGTGCTGGCCGCCCACCCAGACAGCTGGAGTTTGGGCCACCAGACCCCCCAGGCCGTGGTATAGGACTCTTCCTTGCTGACTGCTAAGGCCTTTCTGGACCAGTTCCTGGGAAAAGGGAGTCTGGGGATTGGCTCCACCTCAAGGAGGGGCTGGGTGGGAGCCAGGGCTTGGCACAAAGCGAATGCTGAATGCCCAGGCTCGTGAGGCCGCAGCAATTAGGTTATGTTAGGAGGGAAAGAGCGCTCTTCCAGCCTCTGGCTGGTGAAGGAAGAGCTTGCGGGCTAGGTCCCAAGGGTGACTGGGCTCTTCTGTCAGAGCAATGTCTTCCCTGCCAAGAGGGTCGTATTTCCTTAGGGATGGGAATGGGCTGCCCTGGTCTGTGTAAGAAGCAGCTACTACTTGACCTTAGAAATTGATCGCTGGGTTTGGGAGACAGAAAGTTGCACAAGATCCCTAAGAACACGGCCAGTTCCATGCTCCGTATTCTGCGCATCACAGGAGAGCGGCTTTGGACGTTTCTTCATTGCAGGTTGCTTAGAGGGGAGCTAGTCATTGTTTAAATGGAGAAATAGCTTCCAAACAGACTGAAGAATGACTCCTCGATGATCCCCGCCAGAACTTCTGACCATAGGTCTAAGTTCATGATTTCAAAAGGGAAAAGCTTTAAGCCAGAAAATGCAGGATAAAATCAATCCATGAAGACAGTGAGCTGCAATGTGGGCCCAG